ATGGCAGTATCACATGTGCGGGATGGGAGAGGAGAGGTTGCCGAGAATAGTATGGGAGGCGAAGTGGGCAAACAAAAAGAGGGGTAGACAACCCACGGAATGGGTCAAGGTTGTAGAGGACGTATGGAAAGGGTTAGACATCGACGAAGATGAAACGCTGGAAACGGAGGGTCTACAGGGGTTCAAGGAGAAGATATCTGTTGCTTGTGCCGAGAGAGAAGAACAGAATCTAAGGAAAGAAACCAAGGATAAGGAGGGTCTAGAAGTGTACGGAATGTTGAAAGAAGGAATAGGGTTCAAGGATTACCTACATGGACCAATGGATGCAGGGACAAAGCTTAAGGTCAAATTCAGGACCGGGGACATAGGCCTTCGAGAACGTCGACGAAGACATAGGACGGTAGACGACGAAGACAAGTTCAAATGTGAGCGCGGCTTCGAATGCGAAGACCGTGTTCATGTAGTCGCGGAATGTCCGTGGTACGAAGAGGAGAGGCAAGTGTACATGACTGAGCTGGGAAAAATACAAGGGACGTACAGGGAGATGTTTGAGGCATGGAATAGAGAGGAGAGGACGGTAGCTGTACTGGGGAGTAGGGCGTGGTTTGAAAAGGCGGGAAGGGATATCGTTAGGATAGACAGACTAGGGAAGACATTTTTGAGCCACCTTTGGCAAAGTAGGAAGGAACGATTGGCCATCGGTGATCGATCCTGTGGGAACAATGCTCCGTCCTCTCGAGGACGCGTGGTCAATGGTCTAACCGCTAAGGCATGCAAAACATAAGAGTACGCCCCCCCCCCCGGAGGGGATGTTTGCCATCGGGGTTGGGTTTTCCTCCCTTGGCAGCGATGTTGTAAAAAATGCCGATCACTTTCTGAGCTCGGCAACCCAATTACCGTTTTTTTTTTATCCTTTGTTTTTCTTTTTGCGGGAACCCTGAATGGGGGGCGAATAAAACATGTTGGGCGGGGGCCAAAACCCTCACTCCGCGCAAAGGGGATAATCGCACGTTGCGTTAAATTGGTCAAGAACCCTCGAGGCAGTTACACAGCGCTTACAATTGTCTCTGGAAGTGACACCACCACAAAATAAATTAAGTCATACGCAGCTGTCATCCGAACGCAAGGAAGTAAGCACAAGATGCCGAACACCCTTAGCAGGATGCAGCGCACCCTTCATGCGACTCGCCGAATACCTCACGGCGCTTCGCGCTTGGTGATGTGAGAGCCTGGTCCGGTGAGAATCCGGCGTGCTCCGTCCCGGCTTTGTAGGGATGCGAGGTCAATGGTCTAACGACTACGGCATGCACGACTATGAGTCCTCCCCCCCCTCCCCCCCCCCCACCGCCATCTGCAGTACCCGCCATCCTTCGCAAGGACTTCATCGTCGACGAGTACCAGCTCCTGGAAGCGAGGGCAAACGGTGCGGACACGGTGCTGCTGATCGTGGCCATCTTGGAAGGTGGACAAGCTGTACGCTCTCATCCAGGCGTGCCGCGCGCTCGACATGGAGCCCCTGGTCGAGGTGTGTGCAACACGGAAGGCCATGTGCCGCGGCTGCTGCGGTTGTCGTTTGTCCTTGCTTTCGGTGTTGTGTTTTGTTGGTGTTGGTGCTGGTGGTTGCTGCTTGTTGTCGATTTTTGGTGCTGGTTGCTGACGCTGATCGTAGTTGGTGAGTGGTGTCTTTTGTTGATGTCGGTTTCTGATGGTCGGTGCTGTCGTTGTTTCCGGTGTTTGGTCATGGTATAGGAGAAGGCGTATGGCATTTCCTTACTTGGCGCATTCTGTACTGCTGCTGTGTTAAGACAGCCGTATTATTTGAAAGGTGCACACTGGCGACGGCAGACATGAGCCCACCCACCCCTAAACATGTATTTTTTTTTGCTTTGAAAGGTCCACACGGACGAGGAGATGACGATCGCACTCGAGGCCGGCGCTCGCGTGGTCGGGGTGAACAATCGCAACCTGCACACGTTCGAGATGGACCTGGAGACTACGGAAAGGGTGGCGCTCGTCGCGGCGGCCATGGGGGTGCCGTGGCAGGTACGGACGGTGGAAGGGGGGGGGGGGGGGGGGCAGAGACAGGGAGAGAAAATATTCAACCAACAAAGCAGGTACCCTCTCTCTTTGTTAGTCTTTTTGTTTCGAAACGACAAAGGAAAGC